CCTCCCCCCTACCGCAGTAGGAACCCGAAGCAGCGGCGGATCTCCGCTGCGCCCTCGACCACCAGCGCATCCAGGTGCGAGCACAGCACCTTGTCCACTTCCCAGCGCAGCACACGGTCCAGCCAGGCACGGGCGGCGCGGGGGTCCTTTTGCAGCATGACGTAAATGACGGGGCAGCCGAGCCGCTGATATATACCCACCATCTGATTAAGCGGCCCCGCGAAGACGGGGCCGGGGGGCAGGGAAGGGAAGGGAAGGAGAAGGGGAGGGGAGGGGGGAGCAGGGGAGCGTGGGGTTGCGCAGGGTGGGGTGAGACGGGTACGGGATGCGTGCAGAAAAAATCCACACGCGCGAACACACATACATACACACCCACACAGTATCGCACACCGAGAAGCGGACCTTCGCCATCTGCACCGATAAGGCGTTGCTGGGCCGGTAGTCGTACGCCGCAAACCCCATGTCCCCAAATACCACCGCTCGGTGGTCTCGGAGCCACAGCGTGCTCTCCGAAAACCAGCCGCCCGATTCGTGAAACGTCGCCACCTCCACCTCCGACTCGAGCCCCGGCAGCGGCCCCGCGTCCGGCAGCTCCAAAACCCTGCCGTACACCTCCTTCATAAGTCGTACACGCTCGGGGCCTCCCAGCAGGCTGGCTGTGCTGCGTCCCTGGAGTAGGCCTACAACAAAGTGGGTCACGCGGCGGGCCCCAGGTGTGAGCGTTACAAAGCTTTTGTGGTACGATTACATTACAGGGAAGTGAGGTTGAGGTGGGTTACTGGGGGAGATGTACGGGGACGCGGCGGGGAAGTACCCACAGCCCCACAAACGCCCTACTGGCTGCCTGAGACCGCGTAACATACCTCTTGAACACACCATCCACCCCCGACCACCATCCACCAACCCGACGCACCCGGCACGGTCCACAGGGTTGCGTTGGACGAGCAGTACGGCGCCCAGTCCGGTGCGTTATACCAGTGTTCGGGTGACAGGTTGATACACACCACGTGCTCCACGCAGGGCCCACAGCCCCCTGCAACAGACCCCTCGCCGCGGCTGCCGTCCGGGTCCCCGCCGGTGAGGCTGCGGAGCAAGGCCACCGCCTCCTCAGTTGCGGCTGGGGGATTAATCAGCTGCAAACCAACGCAACCAACAACAACCAACAACCAGCAACAAATCCGAGTCAGTTAGGATTCATGTAAATCCACATTCACGTTCCACGTCAAGTCAACCTCTAACTCTTGGGAATATAAACCTATATATGTGGCTGGAGGTCGCGAAGTTTATGAAGCCCATGAAAAGCCATTTTCCGTTACAGAGGGCATTGGGGGATTAACCTGGAGGGGATGCAGTCGGGTTATGAAGGAGCCCCAAGGGCTCCCCTCTTTCTCTTCCTCTTCCTCTTCCAAGCGGTCAGCCAGGGGGAGCGGGGCTTAGAGCCACTATCCAGGTGTGGAGCTAGCCTCATGCAGCGTGCGATGCGATACGGCGCACGAGCATTGGACCCACCATCAGTCCGCCGCTGCGGAGCCGCACGATGTGGGTGTTCAGGTAAATGTTCTCCGTCAACGTGAAGTCCTGTCGCAGGCACCAGAGCCCCTCGCGCAGCGGGAGGAGGCCAGTGGCCTTAGCGCCCAGCGGAGGAAGTGGGTCCCGGCTTCGCCGTGACAGCGAGGGCAAGTATGTGGCTGCAGCCGCGTTACTGTGGGTGTTGGCGGCGTCGGAGGCTGCGGCGTGTGCGCGCGGCGTGTGGGGCAATCGGCGGCATTGGAGCTTGGGCTGGCGGGGAGACGGTGTTGATAGGGGCCCGGTGAGGGGTCCACCTCGCCGTCGTGCTGCTGCGATGGCGGCAATACCGCAGCAGGATGCCGGGGGTTTGAGAGCAAGTCGGTTACTGGCGAGATGATCGCTTGGCAGGCACCAGGCCATTTCGTTTCGGATTAAGGTTCACTCGAAGGCGCTGACTTGGTGCGACGCCCTCTCGCGCCGGAAGCTGCTTCAACCTAGTAATAATTTAAGACCCTAAGGTATCGTCAGATGCTCAGAAGCTGAGAGTGCGGGCGGCGGAATTGGTGCAGGATGTAGTTGGTCTAGCGTTAATGTCCTTGCAAGCCTAGACGACCGATTAAATGTAATTGGATTTGGCCTTCTTAAATTATGCAATACGTAGCTTTAAAGTTCAGCCGGCTAGCATGGTTATCCACTCAATGTCCTGTGGTTGACAGTTAAAACGCAACATTGACATGGCAAACATCCAGATTTTTCTCCCGCTGATAAACGATCAAAATTCTATGCATTTAAGGAATAAAATTTAAACTCATGTTGCTGTGCCTCTCTTCGTTCGATGCTTTGGTCCCCGAAACACAAAATAAGACAACCTTAATTTTCTAGCAACGTAAGATGGGCTCTATGGTGTATTTTTAGGCATATAGGGGACTGAAAACTTAGGGCCACTCAAGAGTTTAATTGCAGACCCGTGGTTCCCAGTCTAACGACGGTCTTTGCACATTGCAGCCTAGGGAAATTATACAGAATACCACAAGCGTTAGGAATATATGCATAAACGTCACCTGCACCTTCGGTGCTTAAAATTACCGGCGATGTGTCGTACGTTATCACCCCATTCCAACATACAAAAGCCTGCTACATTCCTCTTGGCTGATTGATCAACCTTAGTTGATTCTTTTACAGTTCTCTAAGTAAATACAAAAGACTTCAGATGTTCCTGCAGTCAGCATATGCTTGCAGCCCGGTTGGGCCAGGCCGGCAAGCCTCTCGTCCAACTTGCCAACCCGTCAAAGCCATAAATCACCTTGCTGAACATAAGGTAACAGCTGGTGTAGCCCAAACTTGCACACACTGGATCCCGACAGTCACACGGCGTCAGCAATTAGCGAGCATAGCTGCTGCCCTGGTGTACTTGGAAGTCTTACCTCGGCCCACAACTGCGGCCGAAGAGTCAGCTCCTTCTTCTTCGGCGTTAAAAGCTATAGATGCCATCCGCCGTGACTTTGTGGAGAGGCAATACTACGTCACCGGCAATTTGACTCCGCAGCTCTTCGCCCCTGACTGCGTGTTCAAAGACCCCACTGTGGAGGTCGTGGGTAGGTGCGGGGACCGAAAAATCAGCGACAGCCTTCTCTGGTCGTGGATGAGTGCGTGATGACGGAGCGGAACGGATTCTTCCAACGCAGGCGTAGAGCCATACGTCAGGGCGCTTCAGGCACTATTCGACCCTTCCACGTCGCGCGCTGACCTCATCTCCATTCGCGCCACGGCCCCCTCTACCGTCGTGCTTCGATGGCGGCTAGAGGGCTCCCTGAAGCTGGCCGGTCTTAAGATCAAGCCGTACACTGGTACGACAGTGTACACCCTCTCCGACGATGGCAAGGTCATCCGCCACGAGGTACGGCAGACTCGCCTTAGGTGACCGCACGCTACTTCATGTGAACGTCGCGCCCATTTTGCATGTACGCGTGGCATTTCCACGGCGTTGACGATGCGCCCATTTTCATGCGAGACTTAAAAAAAAACTTAAGGAGGGACCAGAAATTGCCACCAAACTAAAACTGTTACACCAAAAAAGGTCGGCATTGCCGGAATAACGCTTCAAAGCTGCTTGTGCTTAATCCATACGAGCCGCTTCTCTCCGCCGCCACCACCAAGGAGTCACCACTCCCCGGGCCCTGGCCGCCATAGCCCATAGCTTCATTGCATCCCCGCCGCGACCTACCTCTACCCCCGTCCTGGCTGCTAGGAAACCTGGGACATAAGCACCGTGGACGCCTTTGTGTCGACCTTCTTCCCCGGCTTCGGAGCGCCGCCCGCACCGCCCGTACCGCCCGTACTGCCGACGACCGTGTAATATGCTGCATGGCTTCCGAGCGATGGCTTGCCCCGTAGCGTGTGCAGCGCGTTGTCTCATTATGTATGGCGCATTTTTCTGGGCCCGCAGCAGCAACAGCCAAACAGGTTTAGGATGGAGACCGTGGGGGTCTGCAAGCAAGGGGAGAGGACTGGGACGGGACGGGGCGACAGAAGGGTGTCTGGAATTGCCAAGAGAGTTCTGGCCAAGAGGTTTTCTAATGCCGGCTCGGGGCCTGGGCCTTTTTAGGCTACACTACACAGCAGGGGGATTACGGATCTGGCAACATCGTGGATGCAAGTCGTTGTTGTTGCTACTGCTGCTGCTGCTGCTGCTGCTGCTGCTGTTGTTGTTGTTGTTGTTGTTGCTACCGCTGTTGACACTTGGCTCATTATTGTTGCTGGTTTTGCTGCTGCGTTATTGCTACATGCTATGCCCTACCTGCTGCTGCTGCTGCTGCGTCTCGGGGATGCATCCACGTGTCGAGGGGTGTATGCCTATCACGCGAGGCGAATGAAAGTGCCGGGGCCCCGTGTCAGGCCTGCTCTCGGAAGGTCACGACTTAACCCATACCTGCAGCGAAATAATTTCCACCATCATAGTAATGCTTATCGCGGTCAACTTTCAACGGCCGTTGGGCCATGCAGCCTTATTTCTTGATGTCAGGATATTCTCCAACTGTGAAAATGTGCTGGGATCGTAACATCTAAGATCATTCGTGCATTCGTTCCCATGCCATTACTCGGTGTGCGTGTGTAGGTGAGGGGGAAGGTGCTAAAAGGTCTCACCTACACACGCACACCGATATATATACATACACACAGAGTATGGCCGCAGACCAACTCACACATCCTCTAACCAACTAACACACTGACGCACGGGGGGAAGCTCTAGCCAGCGTACAAATCCACACCGTCTGGTGCTTGACGACTCTGCTGTCCCTTCCTCTTATAGGCCTCCTAGATTGATATGTGTGGTATGCCCGTGCGGCCCCGTGCATCAAGACGCGCCCGTGCCCACCCCCCGTGTGTTCGTGTCTGTCTGTATGTGTATGTGTTTCCACCACTTTATGCACCATCGAGGGTTGGGCGTGACCCAGGTGACAGCAGGTGGTGCACTTCATTGCACCAAGGAGGGGCTCGTTACGGCCACTCCCCTCCACCCCGGCAGGAAATAGAGGGTGAAAGGGGGGGAGGGCTGCCCCCGAGGGTGGTCCGCTCGACCCTGCGATTGAAAGAGTGGAAATGGAGGGGAGAAGACCTGACTTCTGCTCCCGGAGGTTCCGGGTTCAAACCCGCCTGCCGACCCCTCGGCGTGGGAGGGGTGATGAATTGGGAGGTGGCCCCCCATCTTGTGGACGGTATAGGACGTGATTATGGCAATTTGCGAGCTGATCAGGAACTTCGTTGTGGCGCCGTTGATCCGCTATATTTGGGTGGATGCTGGTGGTGAGTTGCTGAACCCAACGAATACATTCTGAAGTCGGATGGGGTGAATGGATTAGGGTGCCCCTCTCGCAGGGGAGAGCAGGGAACTGCCTTGGGAAAGGGGGCCGCTGGTGAAGCTATACCACCCTGTAACAACATCATACAGAATATGACAAGTGACACGGCACTGTGCAGTCGTTTACACCGTATTTGGGTACACGTGCACCGTACATTGCATATGGGTAGACCGTCAAGACAGGGAGCCCCGAGAGCGGCTTTCCTTAGGGGCGCCTTGTTAGTGGAAGTAGGAAAACCGGACGACGGACACACCCGCATAACTTTACAGCTGTATTGCCGCCGAAATGCTTTGATGAATAGTTTTTCTCTGAGCTGTTACTGGGCTACAGTATCCGGATCAAGATATTGTTATAAAGTACCGAGGAGGGAGTCCAACAAGGGAGCTCACAGCCCTTTCTCGCCTATTAAGGAAAGCCCTAGGCCTTTCAACCAGCGCAGCATTCACAGGCAAGCGGCGTCGTCTTGGTCCTGCGGCCCTCTGAAGACCGCCAAGGTGCTCTCGTATGTTGTCCGCTGGTGCGACCAGACTCATTCCTTCGCGGTACATGTGGCCTCACCTGTTGTGTCTTCGTGCCCTCCTCTCCTGTCGCCCTGATAGCAACAGGACCAGAGCGGGGAAGGCAACCACGCCATTGCGGCCGTGAAGACAGGCCAGCACAGCCATACAACTAGTCAACTAGGTAGGTGAACCGAACCCACAGCCAAGTAGAGCCGAAGTGAAGGACAGCTGACACGGCGGCATTCAGATTAGAGCAGCTTGTGGAGATATTGGTGGAGATCTCTTGTCCATCCCTTCTTCGTTGGAATGATTTGCGACGTCATATCCCCAAACAGTGTACGCAAACGGCTGTCTCTCAGTGTGTTCGCCAGTCGCTCAGCCCCTCACAGCCCATCAAAGCTTTATTGACATCTCAAACCATCATCGCCCATCACCTCTTCCAAGAACCAACCGGCCGACGCCAACCGCTATAACCGTAAACTGCCCACGGGACTCTGTCCAAATTTCTGCCAGGCAGTTTCCCACCAGCTGCCGCACCGAACGAATAACAACAAGCAATGCAAAACATCAACATCAGCGAATAACTTTACTCCGCTTGTCCATTGGTAGGGCTGTTCGTTGCCGGCGGCCCTGCCGTGCTCGTGCGCCTGTCACCTGCGCCGTCCAGCCCGAGCAAAACATACATACACACACACAGCCTGGACTCATAAATATATCCCAACACTTCATTTTTTTCCGGAACACCTCCACTTCTTACGTCCCGGCGGCCGTGGCACTACGGGGGAAGCAGCTATTGCCACCTCCGAGAGAATCCTTCGGACCAGCTTGGTTCGCGAATTGGCCCCCCTCACAAGCATCACCACCACCACCACCACCACCACCACAACAACAACAACAACACAACACACTACAATACGCAATTTAAACCACCCGCCGCCTGCAGCACTGAAAGCTGCCAAGACGACGGTTCAAGCATACTGTCCCAACGGCTCAGTACCCCCCCCCGCGCGAACCACCACACCGCACTGCTCTTCTTATACCGGCGTCATGCGGCCACGTCGGCGCCTGTCATCGCCGCGGCGCTGGGCTGCAACGCTGCACCAACAGCTGCTGGTGGTGCTTGTCGGGGTGTTGTTGGGGGTGCTAACGCCTGCGAGGGGCGTCGGGGGGCAGGGCCTTGGTGCTCAGGGCACCTGCCCCATCTCCACGGAAGATCTACAGAACGTGGACTACACGCAAGTCAAGGCCAATTGTGGTACGCACATACGTCAGACCCGGGATCACGGGAGCGCCCCACACCCATCACCCCACCACCACCACCACCTGACCAAACCACCATTAACCAGCTGCCCAGCTCGTACCCCCCGATCTGTCCTCTTATCTCCGTGCCAAGTCCCCCTGTTGTTTTCGTAGGAATTTTCATTGGCAGTCTGCCGTACGCACGTGTTTTGTTCGATGCTACAGTCGTATGACGCGACACCCCGTGCATTATGGGCTGTGGTGTGTCTGGGGCCACACCGACCCCCGTGTGTGGGACTCACCGCATACCCCTGAAACGGGGATGTGAACCACGTCACTCAAAAAGTCACGCACTTCGGTGATCCTTTTCCTCCTTTTTTCTTTTGCCGCCGTTCTCCAATATGCCGTAGTCCCGGCGCCATTGGGCAGTCCGCCGCCATGCACCGCCTGCCTGTGCGCCATCGGCCGCGCGCTGTTCTCTGAGCTCACTGCCTCCGGTCTGGACCTAACTCAGCTTGTGGGGGAGGCTGAGCCGGTGGTGATACAAAACCTCTTCCAGGCTTGCCAGTAAGTGCCGCGAGGATGCGATGGGGGGGGTTGCGATGCGAAGGGGTGCAAACGGTGCCGGATACGGCAGGGGTGGTGCGATGCCGATTGCGATGCGATGCTGGATACGGTGCCGCATGACGAGGTCAGCAAGATGGACGGTAAAAGATATAAAGTTTGGTGAAATGTTGAGCCGCCTAATTCGAGTTGCGGGTCTTATGCGTGAAGGGCTTCAGAAGCGACAACGTGTCAGCCAGTGGATTTTTTTGTTTGGATGTGCGCGCTGTTACTGTTACCACCGACGCCTGTTTATCAGGACACAGCGTGCTGGGGCTCTCTCTCTCTCTCAATGCGTTCCGTCCTTTCCTCACTGTTCCCACCACAAAACTTACACCGCTCGCCCACATTGCTGGCCAGCGCCACACCTCCTGTCTATGTCATGTGGGCAATGCTGTATCTTTGTAGGAGACATTCAAACCTCGCACACACCTTGTCGTCGTCGGCCCTTTCACCCCGCCTCCGCCGCCCTTTCATGCTAGGCTCGCGCTGGGCGCACAGCTTGTGCGGGTCGCCGGGCTGGATCTCACCGTGCTGACACAACTGCTGTCATGCCCCGCGGATTCCATTACGCCCGAATGTATAATCGAACAGCAAACGCAGCCACAGCCGCACCAGCAACTTCCGGTGCTGCAGCCACACACGCAGCAGCAGCGCGGTGTCAGCGATCCAGGTGCGGTAGGGTACAGCTTCAACCTTCAGTCCTTCAGCTTTCCAGGAAACGTCTCAAACAAACTCGCCTTTGTTTCCCCAAACTCCCCCCAACTTCCCCCAACTATCTCTCCGCTACTCCTCACCATAACTCTGGGTTATCCACCCCTTCGTTTAAATCCAATGTCGTCTATAGTGGTGGTGGCGTATTGTTGTGGTTTATTGCTGCCGGGTGTTTTGATAGCTGTTGCGATGGTGAGCTACATGGTACGCGAGGGAAACTGCACCGCCACCAGCCAGGCTACCATACACGCATGCGCCGGGGAAAAATTATTTCACAGCGTCTGCACGTATGCGTGTTCTGGTGTTGGCCCCACTTGCAGAGGTCACCAGCTTCGATCGACAGGACAGGATCACCCCCACCCCCGCAGCCGGCAGTAGCGCCGCCAGCCCCGTCGCTAATGCCGCCGCGCCCCAGCCCCTCACCGTCCCTGCCGCCGTTGCTACCCCCGCCGCTACCTCCGCTACCCCGCCAACATCTCAAACCACAAGCACCGCTAGCACCGCTAGTCGAACTGGGAAGCAGGCAGCAGGCGCTTCCTCCTCCACCTCCATTACCGTTAAAGCCGCCTCTGGACCTGCGCCCGCAGCCACTTCCGCAGCCACCCCTGGTGCAAGCTACGCTATTGCCATTGCCGACAGCTCTGACGGCACCGGCAACTACACCAGCAGCAGCAGTAACAGAAATGGCGGCGAAGCAAGCGCAACGGCGCTGACGACTGGTCCCTCCAGCCCCAGAGCTGGCGGCAGCAGCGGAGGCGACAGCTCTTCGCACGCGGAGGCCTCCGTGGCGGCTCCGGGAGCGACCACAGCGACCGGAGCGACCACAGCGACCGGAGCGACCACAGCAGCTGGCGCGGCCACAGCAGCTGGAGGCGGCGGCGGCGGCGCCGCCGCCGTTGCTGCACCGCAGGCTCAGAGACCGGCTCAGAGCGGAGCCGCCGGGCAAAGCTCCTCAACCGCTTGGCCTGTCCTGGCGGCGGCACTGGTGGCGGCGGCTGCCGTACAGGTGCTGACATTCGGGCCGCTGCCGCGCAACCCGGGTGCCCAGCGCCTGACCTAATACGGCTTGCAATCAATGGTTTCTACTCTCCACTTGGCCACAGCAGGTGCTCTTGTGGAAAATGAGTCGTCATCCCTCCGAGATCCATCCAGGAAATTCATACGTGTAATTCACCAAGCACGGCGTTGTTGTTGGTGGTGGTGGTGCTGCTGCTGCTGCTTCGACTGCAGCGCTAAAAATCACCAGGCAGGGGTTTCCCGTTGTCCTATGCCTATTTGTACGGATTTTTTTGGAATCGCACACGCCAGCCAGGACAGGACACCCGCCAAGTACCATGCTAGTACATTCGCCGCGTGCCCGACGGCCGCCGGGACCCTTCGACTTGGACAAACGGCCTCTCAGTGCGTGGTAACTTCCGTCATTTCCTCGGTCGGTCATCTTCTTGACTTGCCGCTGTTTGGCGTCGACATCTACAGGCGCCCTGCAGCGCCTCCTAGGCCGCATTCGCCACCGACTCGCACACCCAGCAACCTCGTCTCCCCGGAAGGGGGCCGAATGCCGTGCCAATCTATGAGGATGAGGGAAACCCTGCGCTTCCCTGGAGTACGACATCATCTACGCACTGCCCGTGTCGCTGCCTTTTTTGAGGAGAAAAGCCGGGAACTCTGTTTGTGTGTGTGTATGGGTGGGAATTCACGTACGGCGGCTTTTTCCACTCCCCCCCGAGGGAGTCCGGTGCGTGGATCCGAAAAGTGCCGAAGGACTGAAGCTACGAATCATTGCGATGATGATGATGATGATGGTGTGGTGGTGGTGTGGTGGTGGTGGTGTGGTGGTGGTGGTGGTGGTGTGGTGGTGTGGTGGTGGTGGAGGGTGCCGAAGAGAACTGTCCTTTATAAAGAGAACTGCGTCCCGTTGGAACTGTCCCAGCGGGGTCCGCTGTCTGGTGCTCAGCTGTGTGATGTGACGATGATAAAACGAAACGATAGGAGAGCTTTCAGCGGCGTAGAGCTGTTGACAGTCCGGGGTGAATGGCGGGGGGCCAGGGGGTCACCAAATACGCATCCATGGCGCTGCGCAGCAAGGGGGGAGTTAGGCGACTAACGTGGTGAGTAGCAGGTTCGATGCATGTGTCGGCGGGAAATCGCAGAAACGGCAGGTAGGGCGCCGCGGGGGTATCATTTACGCAGTCCAAGTGAACCCCCTTCCTTTTTCCTATGCACAGGTAGGAAGAGGTACGCTGTGGTGGGGGTGGTGGTGGGGGGGGGATAGCTAGGGGGGAAGGCGTACTCAGACAGCGTTGGGGTAACGAACTATTCCTTTCTGGTGTGTAGGTTGTGGTGTGTACCTTTGTGGATGCCTGTGGTTCGGAGCAGCTCCCTCCTCGTTTGGTTGGCCGAGCGAGGGACACACAGCGCGTGGCGGAAACACGCCAAAACAACGGCACCGTCACCGGAACATTGCCACCAGCAGCACGATAGCACCTGTGGTTCACAGCGGGATTTTTCTGCGCGTGAACAGCTTTTTTGGGGTTTGCACAGCGCCGTTCGTTTTCTTGTGTGTGCGCGCGTGTGTGTGTGTGTGTGTGTGTGTGTGTGTGTGTGTGTGTGTGTGTGTGTGTGTGTGTGTGTGTGTGTGTTCGAATGCGGGCAAATGCGTCTCTTGGTTTGGGCGCGTGGAGGAACAACGCCACACCACTGAACGCCATAAAGAGTATTGACACGTGTGTGCTCCGCGCGCATCTGCTGTATCACGTTAACGACAACTTTCGACGTAACAACAACGGTCACCATGAAGTGCTTTGGTCACCATCAAGAACCCTCCCCGTGTTACATGGGACCAAATTCCTCAGCCTTCTGTCGCTTCTGTTGGTTGTAAAGGATAAAAGTAACAACAAGGATAATAAATGTGTTCAATTTGCTGAATGTGGTCACTGGCGCCGCACAGTAATCAGCTGAACACGGAATCCTTTGGTAATCCATGTAAGCTGTGTCACTGTGCAATCCAATCCTCCTCTCAGCCTCCTAACCGCTAAGTGCAACCGGAGAACTGAGGGCCCCTGCTGGCCCCCTAAATCAAAAAAGAGGGAAGCGGGGGAGCTGACTACCGGGCAGCACGGCACCATTCCCCCCTCTCACCCTCCTCTTTCATCTCCCCCTCTCACCCTCCTCTTTCATCTTCCCCCCTCTCACCCTCCTCTTTCATCTTCCCCCCTCTCACCCTCCTCTTTCATCTTCCCCCCTCTCACTCTCCTCTTTCATCTTCCCCCCACTCACCCTCCTCTTTCATTGTATTGTATTGTGGTTACAGTATTTCCGCCGCCGACGCGGCGGGTGCCCTCACGAGCCGTGAGGCTCCAGAGCACGCTGTTGACGCTCATCAAAAACCTCAGTAAGGAAAGTAGCGATTTTCCTCGGATTGGTATTAAGAAATACCTTGCGCATATCAGTATCTTCAACGTTAATCAGAAACCTATTACGCAACTCAGTATACGCCTCACACTCCATGAGCACATGATATTCATCCTCAACCTTACCCGACGTACAGACCTGACACGTACGGCACTCTCTCGGCCTATGGTGTCCTTTGTTGACCTCCAAAGGCCAACAACAAAGACGGAATTTGGCAACCATACGCAACTGGTTGACCGGCAAATAAACACGCAAATAGCCTGTGGGATCGGAGCCCTCTCTTGCTGGTGAAGGGGAGCCCATCCAGTTATGATACCTGCAAAGCGAAACCCCTTTACCTTGGAACACACGCGGATCACCCCCTTGGCTGAACTGATCCCAGTCACTTAAAAGGAACGCAGATAACCTCTCCAGAACCTCACCCACTCGAATCAACTGAGACGAGTATACATCTACCTTCTGAGAAACGGAGTCACACGCCGGCCACTCATGGCCCAACCAACGCAAAATGATGAG